TAGTAATGTTTTAATATAGTTTTAATTTACTGTAGCGTATTTGTATGGTGAACGAACGGACAGGACATCAGCTTAGTTACTTTCTCTTTATTTTCTCTTTACTTTAATACATTTTTTGTCTATTTTTGTATAAAATTTTGTTATCCAATCAATCCGGGGGGGGGGGGCAAGTGCCCCCCTTGCCCCTACCTGCGGGCGCCCATGGTGGAAGAGCTAGATTATGATGGAAGAGATATGTCAGAGTGGAAGAGATATATCAGTTTGGAATACCTAAATCAGAGTGGAAGAGCTATAACAGAGTGGAAGAGATAGATCAGGGTGGAAGAGCTAGATTAGGGTGAAAGAGCTATGTCAGAGTGGGAGAGCTAGATCAGGGGGGGGGGAAGAGCTGAATCAGAGTGGAAGAGCTAGATCAGGGCGGAAGAGCTAGATCAGAGTGGAAGAGCTATAACAGAGTGGAAGAGATAGATCAGGGAGGGAGTGAACTTTGGACCTGATAGTAGAATATAAAAATTATTTATTTGTTTACACTATATCACCATATACAAAAGATATCAGGGGCCTCTATTTTCGTGGGGCCCCTGGGCAATTAACATTTTCCCCACGCGTTCATTTGACATTTAATTATATTCACGTTATCAAGTATCAGATGACTTAATGCTTTAAAATCATTGATCATGCATAAAAGTGCGTATAAAAACTGGCAATCTTTCTCCGGGCGATAAAGATAACAATTTAAAATACAATAAGAATAAGCTCCCCTTCATTCCCCACATGCAAAAATATGGCCGCGGGGGATTGTGGAGTCGACCAAAATAATAATATTTGGTGTTCAGAAACGAAAGTCTTTGTTAAAGAAAAAAGGGGGAGGGGGGGCAGGTGAAACAAGATTGATACTCAAAGTAACTAAATTCAGAATTACCCTTACACACCCCACCCCGTGCTTGTTTCATTGACGCTATAAAAGCATGGTGGGTCATCAGCAGCAAGTCAACTTGGCGCCTCTGATCTCAAGCAGAATCCTTAGCGGTGAGTCTTTGGTTAGGAAAGCAACTTCACACATTACATACAATATTGCACAAACACACTTTACACACTACGCACAACGTTCGACCAACACACTTTACACACTACGCACAGTGTTGTGCACACTCACTTTCCACACACTGCGTAGAGTTATTTCGTGGAAATCTTGAAATGGATGGCCGCCATTAAAGGTTACCTCCATTAAAAATGTCTTTGTGTTGCTATCGGTTTTTTAATTTTTTTTTTTTTAAAAATCGGTTTCAGGAATTCTGTTTTGAAACGGTTATCGGTTTGTACACTGCATTCCAAAATGTTCCACATAAAAGAATCAGGTTGGACTATTTTTATAAGTTCGAAAGTAGTAGTTGAAATCTTAGTTTGAGCAATCAGGCAACTCCCACTTTTGATACAGTACTTTCTACCAGTACGCGACCTATTTTATCACGTGCGACCGAACTGCGACAGAGCAATCTGCGCACTCACTTTGGCAAACTTGCTAACGGATAGCTGCAGCAGAATATCTGCCTGCAAGGACAATGCTCAACCACCTAGTGCAGTGGTCGGCAAACTCATTAGTCCAATGAGTCAAAAAAAAATCAGCAGCGGGACGATTAAAAAAGAATTTGAGGGCCAAATTTCTTTTCAAGAACCTGCCAAGAACCATGTTGTTGTTTTTTTCGGAGTGAATCCCTATTTGTGGCCGGCTGGCCATATTTTAAACATTTTGTTTTTTGTTTTGTAAACGCTCGGTAGGGTTAGCTAATTAGACAAGCGAAGCGAGGACCTGTTTTTACATATACTCTAGTTTGATCTCCCATTTCGTCTGTAATTACGATTCAACCATATCGTTAAAATTAGGGGGAAATCGACTATCGGTTTGTAAATAGTAAAAAAACCAACAATATTCGTTAATCAGTTTCGATAACCAGAAATGCGGTTATCTTTTGTAAATCCTTAATTAATGGTGAGTTATAGTTGCTTTTTTTTTCTTGTAGTATTGTTTTTTTTTTTTTGTTTTATTGCAATTAATTATTGTCTCGGCGACTCTGCGAAGACGTCTCTGATTTTGTTGGCCTTCTTGGCCGTTACAATTTTTCCTACTTTTGTAAATCCTTAATTAATGGTGAGTTATAGTTGCTTTTTTTTTCTTGTAGTATTGTTTTTTTTTTTTGTTTTATTGCAATTAATTATTGTCTCGGCGACTCTGCGAAGACGTCTCTGATTTTGTTGGCCTTCTTGGCCGTTACAATTTTTCCTCAGCGAAGAAGACGCAGTTCCCATCGTCCTCAGATAAGCACCGACATAGAAATGCTGAATCTAGTTGTGGTACTGGTTTGTGTCTGCAATGCTTTCGCCCAGAGCAACAGCTATGGCTCACAATGTAAGTATGTGGCATATGTGGCTGCCAATGTAAGTATGTGGTACATATGGCTGCCATTGTAAGTATGGGGTAGATACGGCTCCCAATGTAAGTATGGAGTAGCCTTGGCTGCCAATATAAGTATGTAGTACATGTGGCTCCCAATTTATGAGGTACATATGAATCCCAATGTAAGTGTGTGGTAAATATGGCTCCCAATGTAAGCATATGGTAGCCATGACTCCCAATGTATAGGGGTAGTTATGACTCCGATTGTAAGTATGTGGTATTCATGGCTAGAAATTAAGTAGCTTTTATGCATTACCCTATGAAATGTTTTCAATGTTTGATTATTGCACCGAGATTCAAAGAAGCAGCGTTTTGATAACATGAAATATTACCATGTTGTTAGTGCTGATAGTTAAAACGTAAGAGTGGTAATGATCTTCTATGTACACAGGGATGTTGTTATAGTGTTGATAGTTAAGACCTAAGAGTGATAATGATCTTCTATGTATACACAGGGATGTTGTTATAGTGTTGATAGTTAAGACCTAAGAGTGGTAATGATCTTCTATGTACACAGGAATGTTGTTATAGTGTTGATAGTTAAGACCTAAGAGTGGTAATGATCTTCTATGTACACATAGATGTTGTTATAGCTCTGATAGTTAAGACCTAAGAGTGGTAATGACCTCCTATGTACACGGGGATGTTGTTATGAGGTTGAACGATGGGTGTACAGAAAACTTGAACTGGGCGATTTGATTGATGCCATTGTCTTGGGTTTTTTCCCCCCTCTTAAGCCTACGCCCCTCCACCACCAGTGACCAACTACGCCAACAATGGCTACGGCAATGACTACGCTCTGCTCGGTGACATCAGGGCGTTGGCTAAGAACGCTTCAGGTAGGTGCTCAAGTTATCTACCCTTAGACTTAATGCCACACTGAGCGTGTTCCGTCCTGAGGGATTCTCAATTCTTTGGAAATAAAGAGTTTGGGAAAGTTGAATTATCGGGATGGGAGGAGGGGGGGCATAATGTACGCCACGGTCTTAATGTACGGCACGGTCTTAATTTACGGCACGGTCTTAATGTACGCCACGATCTTAAGGTACGCCACGGTCTTAATGTACGTCACCTTCTTAAGGTACGCCACGGTCTTAAGGTACGCCACGGTCTTAATGTACGCCACGGTCTTAATGTACGCCACGGTCTTAAGGTACGCCACGGTCTTAAGGTACGCCACAGTCTTAATGTACGTCACGGTCTTAAGGTACGCAACGGTCTTAATGTACGCCACGGTCTTAAGGTACGCAACGGTCTTAACGTACGCCACGGTCTTAATGTACGCCACGGTCTTAATGTACGCCACGGTCTTAATGTACGCCACGGTCTTAATGTACGCCACGGTCTTAATGTACGTCATAAACACAATCTACTTCACAATCTATGTCTTGAATCTTGATTTCTCATCTCCCCGTTTGTTGTACTCTCCAGTTGTGAAAAGCAAGGACAATGCTCTCGACGAAATCATTCTCGCGTTGATTGCCGCTAACGATGAGAACACGTTCTTCAACAACCAGGTCAAGGTCAACATTCTGCCCTCCATCTTTAGCGACCTTGCTCGACAGAACAGGGAGATTGCTGATCTTGAGTCCCAGGTGAGCTAAGCACGACGCGATCACTCATCTTGCTCAGAAAACTGACCACCCCCACCCCACTTTTTTTATGTGTTCTTCTCTTCGCTAATCACTCATTTACTCACTTATTAGGGTTAAAAATAATATGAAACATAACATACTAAGCCATTCCTGGTCAGTTATTTTCTCCTGCTGTCATTAATGTGACTCTGTGCATCCACATATCGGTGCACAGCGTATTAGGCAGTAGTTATCAGGACACAGCCCCCCCCCCCCCCCCACTTTCCTTTACTATCACACATACGCTGTAGAGTTACCCAGGAGGGGTGCCCCAAGCATAAATGCTCAGTGGTGTTCGACGGGAGGGGCGCCCCAAGCGCACATGTTCAGTGGTGTTCCACGGGAGGGGTGCCCCAAGCACAAATGTTCAGTGTTCTTCCACAGGGGGGGGGTGACCAGAGCTGTAGCCCCCGGGATAGAACATTACCGAATTTGTTACATTTCAGATAATGAGATATGGGTGTACACGTAGCATAGGCAAGAATATAATTTCAGACGAGGGGAAACTTTCTGTATGTGCCCCCCCCATACCAATTAATGATTTCTCTGTGACATAAACATATTTATCCGCGGCTGTCCCCACCAGGCCACTCAGCTTGTCTTCCTTGCCGACGACATTGCCGTCCTCCAGAAGGCAGTCAGCCTACTCAAAGCTCGAATCCCCGTCATCGTAGCCCGAGAGGACGAGTTCGCTCGCGTGTTGAAGGACTTCGAGGCTGTTGACTTGGTTCAGGACGCCACCCTTGCCCAGGCCAAGAAAGATGTAAGTTTTAAAAAAAAAAACAATATCACAGACGATGTCGAAGGAAATGTAGTTTTAAATAACAATTGATATATTGAATAGATAACAATGGAAGGACAGCATTCAATTGATATATTGAATAGATAACAATTGAAGGACAACATTCAATTGATATATTGAATAACAATTGAAGGACAGCATTCAATTGATATATTGAATAGATAACAATTGAAGGACATCATACAATTGATATATTGAATAACAATTGAAGGACAGCATTCAATTGATATATTGAATAGATAACAATTGAAGGACAGCATACAATTGATATATTGAATAACAATTGAAGGACAGCATTCAATTGATATTTTGAATAGATAACAATTGAAGGACAGCATACAATTGATGTATTGAAGTATTGAGCTTTAAACAAAAACAATAAAACAACCTGTAAATGAAATTATATGGTAACTTATTAAAGTGTGTTGGTGGTCAGATGTAACCACTTATTTAACTTATTATAGTATGTTAGTGGTCAGATGTAACCACTTATTTAACTTATTATAGTATGTATGTTGGTGGTCAGATTTAACGACTTATTATAGTATGTTGGTGGTCAGATTTAACGACTTATTATAGTATGTTGGTGGTCAGATGTAACCACTTATTTAACTTATTATAGTAAGTATGTTGGTGGTCAGATTTAACGACTTATTATAGTATGTTGGTGGTCAGATTTAACGACTTATTATAGTATGTTGGTGGTCAGATTTAACGACTTATTATAGTATGTTGGTGGTCAGATGTAACCACTTATTTAACTTATTATAGTATGTATGTTGGTGGTCAGATTTAACGACTTATTATAGTATGTTGGTGGTCAGATTTAACTATACTACATTTTAAAAATAACGAAATAGAAAGGAAATCGTGAATTTGTGTCTTCCCAGCAACACTCTTGACCGAAATAGTTAGACGAAATGGCGATGCTCGTCACTCACGACCAACTCACAATTTGACTTCAGAAAAATATAGGTCGTCTCCCCCCCTCCCCCTCTTCAATACTCAACGTTCACCTCAGTTCCCTAGGCCTTTATCCTAATCAAGTTCGGTGCACACTCACTCAGCCCCCACTATTCATTTGGCACTACACCCTCAGCCACGCAGCTCACTTGGTTATACACACCCTCAGTCCCACAACTCACTTGGCACACTCGACATACTCAGACAACGCAGGCGAACAATGAGGTGTATCTTTCACGTTTTGTCCACGTCATAGAGGGTATCTGAGATTTATTGAACTCTTTTCTCTTCCACCCACCCAGCACTGTGGTGCTACAGCCCATGTAAGGCTTTTGCCTGCCCCACCACACCATTGCACCACACCTACCTGATGCTTTTCTTTTCCATCCTTGGATTCCCAGCTGCTGTAGATCCCTCTCCACATCTTCCATCCATCTAAGCCTGGGTCTGCCTTTGAGCCGTTTTCCTCTGGGGTTTTGGTGGTGCACCCTCTTCACTCCTCTGTCGTTTGGCTTTTTTTCTTTTCTTACTGTCATAATTTTGGCATTGAACGTAACTGGTCGTCGTCCACCGATCCCAAAGCGCCATTCCCCACCCTTTTGAGACACAAGAGAATTGTTTTATATCAATAATTGTCGGGATTTTTAATGAAAAAGGGGTGGGGTGGAAAACCCAAGGATTGCCCTGTGATGGCACAAACTCTAGCTACCCCATTGATTTTATATAAACACTAGTTTGATAATTTTGTAAAAAAAAAAGTATTGCTCAGGTAACGTATGAGAGAAAGACGTACTTATATTTTATAATAAATAAAATATTTGGATTAAAAAAAAACACATGTGAAATATGAATCCTTCGACATGTCAATAGTACATATAAGATTCCACAACCGCAAACAAATAAATAAGCTTCACGGTGACTTCCCTTTCAGCTGGACGCCCAGACGAGCAAATTGGCTGAATTGGAGGCCCTCGTTGTCGTCATCCAGGGCCAGATTGCAAACTTCCGCAGAACTCTCGAAGACATTTTTGGAAACATCAACGCCGAGTCTGGTAAGTTAGGCATGGCCGACTATCAGAAAATCTGTGTTGTTGTGTATACGTGTCCTGTGATATTTCCCTTAATCTTATACTTTCATTTAGCCTATTAAAACGATTTAGCTTATTTACACGTATTTAAGCTCTACTTCAACGATACTGTCGGTCTTCCATTAGAAGATTAGAATATATATTCGACGCATTGACACGCACAAAACGAACACAGTGGATTGAATACTCTCAAACAGCTTGGCTTTAAATTGTTAAGGGGCCATCCACCTAGCACTTACTCATTGAGGGGGGAGCAGGGTTTCTTTCAGCTATATCTCCGGGGTGGGGGCAGTGCCCCCCCCCGGGGAAAGCCAAGTGCCCCCCCCCCCGAGCAAAAACATTTCCAACAATAAATCAACTGGAACTGCTGGCCCCAAACCCCCCCCCCCCCGAAAAACTTAATGGCCCCCCGGGGGGAAAATTTGTAAAAGAAACGGGGGGGGGGGGGGGGTAGAGGAGTTGTCGGTTTGCCTACGCGTGTGCCTATGACACGGGGATGATATAAAAGAGGGTTTGGCTATAACGGCAGAAAAGACGCACAGTCATTCACACACACAAAAATAATAATTCCGAAATTGTCCTGAAATTCTGACAGTCCATAAATAACATATTAATACCTCTAATGCTGTCAAAATATCACACAACGTTTTGTAATTGTCGTTATAGTGTCGCCATGTGTCTTCATAAGAGAGCACGCTAGACTCCACACGAGTAGTAAGGTAGCAGCATTAAGATGTAGTCCACCATCCGCTTCAGAAGACAATATAAGAGGCCTTCCATATAGTATGCACGCAAAAAAGAAAATCAAACTTTCGAAACTCTCCCCCCCCCCCCCCCCCCTACACAAAAAAAAAAAACCAACCTTCCAAACCCCCCCCCCCCCCCCCGTTATACGCATTAGACACCTCCTGTGCGTTTTAATACGACACAATTATGACGTCACCGGTTAAAAATGTGTCACAGTTTACTGTTTTCCCCGCTGTTTGGCGAGCGCAGTGGTTCTCAACTCGTTTTTGAAATTCCTCTTAACATGATGTAACAAATTTTAACAGCCCAGACCTTCACCTTTGAACTCTCCGCCCAAAACAACCGTGTCACCAGACGACTCTCCGAGGACTTCAGTGGCCGCAAACCCGCCTACCAATGGGGCGTCATCAGCCTCCACATCAGCGACAACACCAGGAGCTACGTGTACAACTACGGTCAGAACGGACCAACCAGTGGATATGCCGCCTCCAATCCATACACTGGGTATGGATCCAACGGAAATGGATATTCGTAAGTGGTGAATCTATATTTAAAAAATAATAATAATGATAATTATATTAGACGTAGTAACCTTTGTAGTACAGAGAACAAATTCATTGGTTGCATAGAGTAACTAGAAGTACAAGAAAATATAATGAAGTTAACTAGAAGTACAAGAAAACATTAATTCAGAGGATTTTAAATTAGCATGAACGTAGGATTTAACATTCCCTGACTTCGCCTTGCTTAACACGCACACAAATAATACAACCCAAGGGGATGGTCCATAAACAGCATTTTGACAAAGGATAAAATAACATTGTATAGCTCAGTTGAAACTCTGTGATTAAGCTGGACTCAGTGCCAGCCTGCACGGTGCATGGCTAGGTGCCGTAACTGTGTGTCGCTAGGTGCCGTAACAGTGTGTAGCTAGGTGCCGTAACTGTGTGTAGCTAGGTGCCGTAACTGTGTGTAGCTAGGTGCCGTAACTGTGTATAACTAGATGCCGTAACTGTGTGCAAGACTGTGCAAACAGCTATGACTATTCAAGGTTTTGCGTGTCCTTACACAGGGCCCCACCACTCAACCCAAGCATCTCTTATGACGTAGATGTTGAATATGATGACATCACACGTGACGTCACTGTTACTCTAGAGGACTTCAGTACTGGAGGATTCCGGGTCGAAAAGGTCAGTCTTTTTGTTGTATCATGATTGGTCAGTGTCAAGATAACCCGGGGAAAAAAAAAAGGGGGGGGGGAGGGAGGAGAGAGAACTATTATATAAATATATATAAAAATTAGATAGCTTTCGCAAGGGAGGCTACTACAAACATAAAATGAAATATGCAATTCAATTACCCACAAGAAACATTACTCACACTTTTTCACCTGCAATAAGCAAACAAACAATGATGTCTTTGACAAACAACCTCCATTTTATTACATCCTTAGGTCACAGTCCAGGTAGTCTTCTACAGACTTGAACACGATACATTGGTCAACTACGGCGCCTACAGCAGTAAATATTAATGGGATTGATTTAGATGAAACTTCCTTCGACTTATGAGAATGGCCGTTATCGTTTGGAACACGAGACGCCAAGATTAAAGTTGTATGGATTGGATGATTTAAATGTAAAAATAAATAAATTTTGAAGTGAATAAAATGGTATAAGTTCTTCTTCATTAATTTATAATTTCAGTCATGGATGTAATTTTTTTGTTACTCCCCATAATACCAAGAGTAATTAAATAGTAGTAATAAAATACCATGGTGTTTCAGAGATTTGAAATATATAAAATTACATTACATAAAAGTTGGTAGCTGATGGGTAAATGTATGTGTTACAGGCAAAGGATGAAATCCAGACATTCTATAGAGTGCCTGATGATTCTAGTCACAGTGTAAAATCCATAAGACATTATACACATTGCCTTGGTTTTCCATAGAAGGCCTGGATTTGTTAAGTGCATAATATGGTGTGACACTAAGTGTCCTATTAGAAAATGTTTTGGGGTAAAAGTTTACATTTCATATATATAAAAGCATTATGCTGCTGCAAGAAATAAAAACTGAGAAAACTCCAGACAGAAAGTTTGATCTTTAAATGATATTGCCACTGCAGTTTCATATATATATATTTATTTTTTTTAAAAAATAATCCTTTTCATGTTATTATATACTTTAGCCCAAGTCGAGTCAGACTTTCTATAGAATGCCTAGGCAAAGTTCAGAATGTCTTATGGATTTCACATGCGATTCTACAGAATGACTGGATTACACACTTTGCCTTTAATTAACTTATATATGTGTTTTGGTCAAGTTCCTGATGTCAAAAACTGTTGACAGTTTTAAAAACTAGAAATGAGAGATCAACAAAAGAAAACAAGTAATTTCCTCACTTTTATTTAATGTCTTTATCACAACCAACATGCATTGAAATAGTTGATCTATTAATAAAGTTAACAACTGAACAAGGAATGAAGCAACTAAACTATTGACATCTAGGTAATCCTCAATGTTACATAAACATTGTGGTCCTGATAAACTAATCAGTTGAACAGGACATCATTTTATCACATTTTAAACTTTTGGTCAATGACAAAATATACACATTTAGACAATGACAAATTTTACACCTTTAGACAATGACAAATTTTACTTACCCTACAACAATATGAGCATACACAAAACAAATGTTCTCAACTGATTTTTATAATAAATCAATAGAGTTGTTTGCCTCAGATCTAAAAATCTCACACACACAGGAATACATTTACAAATTATTTTTTTAAAAAAATTATGGCACAGCCCGGGGTTTATTTTACACAAGTAGCCAATAAATAAAACTTTGACCATTCACCATAAGGGGTAAACTCACTGTGATTTACTATGAGGATTGAGAACACAATGGAATTAGACATGACTAGAAACAATGGCTTTCTTTTAATGAACTTTTACTTGTGTTCAGTGAAAAGATTGTGCTACTGGCTTTAACAAAGTTTGATAAGAGAAAGCCTTATTTCATGACACAAATTACACTAACCATGCTTTATGTTTATCCACTTTTTAAATTAGATACAATGAAATAATTTGACCCATGTGTAAAGAAGTGAATAATACCTAGGTCAAAGGGAGGACAGTTAGAAATTTATTAAAATAGACATAATCAAATAATCCATTTGCTTGTAAAATTTAGTTTCAATAAAAAAATCCAACATGCGTACCATAATTACTTCAGGTTAAAAAACATGAATAAAACTACCGTATTTTCCGGCGTATAAGACGACTGGGCGTATAAGAGGACCCCCTGCTTTCCTGTTAAAATCTAGGGTTTGGGCTGTACACCAGCTCATAAGACGACCCCCTGCGTATAAGACGACCCTCGACTTTTGAAAAGATTTTTTATGTGTTAAAAAGTCATCTTATACGCTGGAAAATATGGTAAATTAATCAAATGCAATACACTCAAACACACACATTTTTTATCATATAAATTAAATTAACTGACCTGGAATTATCAATAAATAAAAGGTGCTAGTTTTGTTTTCAACTGGGTTGGAACAATTTTTTAAATATATGTACATCATTGACAGACAGGAATTATATATGAGTAAGATTTATAAATAACAGCTGGATTTTTTTATGACAATGAGTGGCCACAACAGTAACAAAATCTGGTGACCAACTGTAGCATAGATTAAGAGACAACTGTAGCACAGATCTCATGACAAATGTACTATAGATCTAGTGACAAATGTACAGTAGATCTAGTGATAAATTTACTGTAGATCTAGTGACAAATGTACTATAAATCTAAACACTGTATCATAGATCTGGCTTATACCATATATCTGGTGACAACTGTATCATAAAACTGAAGACTACTGCACCATAGACCTAGCAAACATTGCACCATAGATCTAGGACATCTGATCACATATCTAGTGACAACTGCACCATTTAGTCGGTATGTTAACCTCTTTAAAAGTAAAAGAAATGCTTACATACCATTCAGATTAACTTAAAACTATCAACAGAATACAACATATATTTTAGAGATGTAATATCATGACAATAATAATACGTTTCCTTTGTACTTTGAACTACCGGAATAGGATTAAACAGGAGAAAAACAGGACATTTATTTTTCTTATTGTTTAAGACTTTTGGATAAATCTTTTGAAAAAAATTATTATTACAGAAATTATCAAATTTTATTCAGATAATTTTTTACAAGTTGAATATATTCTAATAAATTATTTTCACTTTTGAGAGATAGTATACATTTGTCATGAAAAAGAAAAACTGTCTTCACCTGCTAGTCAAAGAATGTTCCAGAATATTTTAATAATACTTTCCATACGGATGCATGATGTTAATGATAGAAATGAATTATAAATGCCTTCATATAAAAATTGTTGAAAAGGTATAAAAACTAGTGTCATAAAAATACTTGGGCAATCTGTCTATTTAATCATTTCTGGCCAGTAGTTTAGCCTGACTTTTTTAACTGACCCATCAAAAACTCTGTCCATCCAGATAGACAAACCGGATAAAATCTCATCTTCAAATATAACGTTTTCGTCCCGGGACTTCCCTTCCTCCTCTGAACTGGACGAGTCAGAATCCCCGAAGCCGACAGCTTTGGTGACATTGGCCCCATGCTCGCGACGAATCCACCTGAAAATATCAATCAAATATGCTACTGGTTTCACATTGCCCACCATAAGCTACCATAGTAGAATGGTAATTTGGCACGTAATTTAGGACAGTGGTTCTCAACCTTCCTATCGCCACGACCCTTTAATACAGTTCCTTATGATGTGGCGACCCCCAATCACAAAATTATTTTCGTTGCTACTTCATGTAGAGTATACGTGTTATCCGATGGTCTTGGGCGACCCCTGTAGATGGGTCGTTTGACCCCCCAAAGGGGTTGCCAACCACAGGTTGAGAACCGCTGACTTAGGACATCACAAAAGTTTAGCTTGCCATTTCAGTTCAAACAAACTCTCTTCTGTGATCACGAAGAAATGTTTCTCTTAATTTAGCCTCAAAATCAGAAAACATTCTAACAACAGCAGAACAAGCCGATCCTACCTTCTGGCACGTTTAGGGTGGTATATGTAATAATACTTTCGGTATCCATTTATGGCAAGCACAGTGCCAACACAGTTTCGGTTGTTGATGGAATTCAACGTGACCTTAAAATCCATGCTCATCTCCAAAAGATGGCGGTACCACTCTAGGTAATACTCAAGCTGCAGGAAGGCAAATGTTAGAGCACTGTACCTGGGGACAGATTTACATTATTTATAGAGCACTATACCTGGGGAAATATTTATGACATTTATTGCTTTCTTTACTGTAACATTTATAGAGTTCTAGTCAATAACATTCAAAGATTTCTAGTCCGTAACATTCAAAGATCTCTAATCCATAACATTTAGAGTTCTACTACATACCAATAACATTAATAGAGCTCTAGTCTGTGACACTTATTATGTTCTAGTCTGTTATTAACATTAAATTTTCAAATCCTACGAATGTTTATAAAAAATTGAAATACACCTTATGGTTGAGATCTACCTTGAAAAAGGTTGCATGAGCTCAGCAAATTTGTGCATGAGTTTCTCCTTGGTGTGCTCATCTACCAGGAGTGTCACCGTCAGTCCCGTGTCAGCCTCCGACACCAAGTTGTGGAAGGATTCATACCTCAGTTCATACAGGTGAATGGTCTGGTTGTCAGGTGAGCTGCGGTGGAGGTAAGTTCAGAACGGCTAAGAGTATTCATTACATGTACAAACTAACTGTGACACATGTTACAGACGTAGGTACAAATTAACCCGGCCACCACAGATCCCAGTGTATAATTAAGTAAACCTATCGGAAAACAATTGCAGGTATAAAAGAAGCAACTACAGAAAAAAAAATGCAATCCAAATTTTAAATACTTAACAAGTCTTAAAACACAAGATACCATGATGGTGGCCTTGACTGAGCTTTTTTGGCCAATCTTTTCTTCTTGAGTTCTTCTGCTTCTGCATTGGCCAGTTTTTTCATGCTGTAAGATATAGTCCCAATGAATGCTAATGCAGCCAATGCTGTCAGCAGAGTCATACCATCATAGCTGAAATGTGGCAAAACAAGGTCTCTATACATTTCCATGGCTTCCTATTCCTTAAATATGAAATATAATGTGACAAGATCTCCAAACATATTCATGGCTTCCTATTCCTTACATTTGAAATATAATGTGACAAGATCTCAAGACATACCCATGGCTTCCTATTCCTTAAATTTGAAATATAATGTACAATGACTATTCCTTACATTTGAAACATAATGTACAATGACAATTCTTCAAACAAACTACACATAAAATAATCGATCTATTCAACTTGCCTGGTCCAGTAGAAATATATCCTGTCATACCAGTCAAAGAGTTTATAAATTATTCTTGTCAGAAGACCCTGAGAGGTAGAGAAATCAGTTTAAAATAAAATTAATGATGTGTTTATTGGCATATTTTGGTACTTTTGAAGATGGCAATTTCAGTGAGGTTAATGGAGTACATGTGGTTCTAGAGGACACCTTGAGTTTACAGGTCACACAGTCTAATTACTTATAATAGTTTAAAAATATCTCAAAGCCATTATTTGTGTCTGCATCAAATTATTTATCCAGATAGTCAATGTTTCCTCACCAGCATATGTTCATTGTAAAAATCTGGAACTATAGCTTTGTAAGGAAGCAGATTATCACCAGCCAGGAGCTGGTTCAGTCTCTCTTCCAGCTTCTTTCTTGACAGCGCAACAGCTTCTGGGTCCAGACTCCAGCCTTGCTCTAGAAACTCATAGTTGAGACGATGGGTGTCTTGTCTCCAGATTATAATAACCTGGGAGGGAGGGTGTGTGTGGGGGGGAAGGAGAGACAAAGTGTGGGCAACCAATAAGTACCTGACAGAAAGAACTCTTCAGCTAACCATAACACAATAAATGAAACCATTCTCACCTCCAGAGCATTCTCATCCCTACAACCTGACACAGTTCTCATCTCCACAGCCTGACACAATTCTCATCTCCACAGCCTGACACAATTCTCATCTCCACAGCCTGACACAATTCTCATCTCCACAGCCTGACACAATTCTCATCTCCACAGCCTGACACAATTCTCATCTCCACAGCCTGACAAAATTCTCATCTCCACAGCCTGACACAATTCTCATCTCCACAGCCTGACACAATTCTCATCTCCACAGCCTGACTGAGACCATTCTCACCTCAACTACAGTCTGAGACCTGGTCTCATTTCCTTTAGTGAGTGCATTCATGAAATTTTCCTGAACATCCGAATAGATGTACACAAATCTGATACGACTGTTTCCAGTTTTTGTCGCCTGAGCAAAGTCCCGGAAAGTATTCCTGGCGACGTCGTGCTCATCGGCCTTCTTGGTTACAAGCGCAACACAGAGTCTGTGAATAAACAGTTTGTGTCTTTAATCAAGTTAAAATTATAACCGGAACTTTAGAGGCTATCAGCTGTTAATTTTTTTTGGAATTAATTTGGGATGTATTAGTAAAGAAAACTGTTTAAAAACATCAAATAAAAAAAAATATATATATATATTTGGGGGTCAAACAACCCTTCAACAGGGGTCCCCTAAGACCATAGGAAAGCAAATATATACACTACGGTTATGAAGTAACACCAAAAATAATTTTGTGGTTTGGGGATCGCCACAACATGAGGAACTGTCTTAAAGGGTCGCGGCCAAGGTCACTGTTCTATGGTAAATATATTTGAAAAGAATTATTGCAAATGTCTGGAGGTAAGTAAGTTAAACTATATCGATCAAGTTATTCTGACTGTATTTCCATAAATTCCATCAAAATGGTAAACCATTGTGCTAATCATGAGGAGGACATGCTAAGACCCTACTTTCTCTTCTTTATCTTGGGCTCATGTGGGCACAGGTCATCAAACACAGACTGTGAGGACAGCCTTGGCAGCACAAGGTATTTATTAGTGGATAAAACCTCATCAATTGTTGACCTGGACAGCTGCTGCATCTACATGAGAAGAACAAAACTTACAATAGAGCGAGTATCATCATATAGATATAGATATATAGATATATACTTACATCATATATTTATTCTCATTCTCTCTCTCTCTTTCTCTTATATATATACACACACACATATCTATATCTATCTATCTATATCTATCTATATATATATATATATATATATATATATATAGATAGATATATAGATAGATAGATACAGACACACAACATATCCACAAACATACCTATAGTTAAATAATCATTCTTTAAATGAAAATATATATTAACAATGAATGAACATAAAGATCGATCAATACAGTTAGAGGGAGTATCATATATATATATATATATATATATATATATATATATATATATATATATATATATATATATATATNATATATATATATATATATATAGATAGATATATAGATAGATAGATACAGACACACAACATATACACAAACATACCTATAGTTAAATAATCATTCTTTAAATGAAAATATATATTAACAATGAATGAACATAAAGATCGATCAATACAGTTAGTAGAACAGACTTTGTATTTTAAGTGACAATTAACTTAACAGTTCATTAATGGAAGAAGAAATAGTCTAATGAAGCTTAAAAGAAAAAAAAAGAAACTTTTATTGATCACACAACAATAAATAAATGCAGAATTGGTCATTAGTATGTTATAATTATTTACAGCAATGGAAGCCAATGTCGATTCCTTCATCTCATTCCACAGCAACAAGGTCTCCCGGTGCTTGTTGATGTTAAAACGTTTGATCAGTTTTTCAGACTCATGGTTCATGGTGTGCACATAACCAAAAGAAATACGCTCACGATAATAGAATGCGGGTGCCAAAAATCGGAGAGAGCTGTCTTGCCTGGAGCCGAAGAAGATCGCACACACTTTGTTGTCCTTCCAACCTTCCTGAAAACTTTCAAAAGTTTTGTCCGTTACCTGGGGATATGCAAATAAATTATTTTATGTTTTTCATATGTATACAAATAAACAAAGTACATTTTGTAGGTCTGTAAAACTTAAGCTTGTCATAACTTACAGTTGCGAAGGTCTGGGCTGGAAAGAGGTTTCTCATGAAATCTCTCAACTGTTCAAAGGAGACTCCATTTTCTTTGTAGAAAGTTATTCGACCAGATACCACAGCAAGAATATTTGGGGCGTGATGAATTCGTAAATGGCTCGCCAGGCCTGGTGAGCGTCTCAGGTGCACAGCGACAACGCACAAACCTTGAGGAAATATACATAAAAGTTTAACTGAAAACTTACAATTCTCTGACATATACATATTAATTATGCTTTATTCTATACATAATCACAATGCTCTCCTAAATACCTCTTCACCGTATGTTATATGCATACTTTTTGGCTAGCCTCTCAAGAATACCTTTTAACTATTCTCTCATGTATACCTCTTTAATATACTCTAAAGCAGTGGTTTCCAACCTTTTTTCACTTGTGGAGCCATTTTAGAATCAATTTCTCGGGGGGGGGGGGGGGGGGGGGGGGGGGGGGGCCTCAGGCCTAACCTATGCCTTACAAGTTAACAGTGATATCATAATTCCTGGAGAGGCAGCAGAACCCCTGAGAAGTACCTGCTGAACCTTTAGAGCTTAGCTGATCACAGGTTGGGATCCACTGCTTTAATGTGTAACTCATATTAATCAAATGCAGATGACATCTAAAAAATGAGTGAGAAAAGGTTCACCTAAATTCTCCAATTCTGTCATAAACTTGAACACAACTGGTTCAAGGCGCATACAATTGAAGCAGAAATCAGAGTAGGCGTATATAAAGCAAGGATTTTGATTAGAGCCTGGGTGTAGTTTCGTTTCATAATACCTGAGTTAAAAATGAAAATAAAACATGAATGAAAGAATATGTAAATCTTGTAGTGTGCTGAATGCTTTTTTATTGACCTGAATTCAAGCTCTGTAGTTAAGACGATAGAAAAGATGAAAAATGAAAAGCTGGTTTCATAACATTCAATGAACTTGTACATCTTGTATTGAGATTAGGTGGGAAATTAAGAGGGAAAAGTTCCACTGAGTTATAGGAATATGCATAATTAAGAACTGGCAGTTCTTTTTAACTACACTAAAAATACTGCAGTCTCATTGCATTATTCGTTGAGTCTTTTATTTAATGGCAATAACTGTGCCAAACTGTTTATGAATAAGAAATATATATTTACTGTAAGGTCGTCAAGTATTTCTCCATGTTACTGCTTTCTCTGCCTCCAAATCCAAATGGTCCGAAGCCCCCACTGAAAAACTCATCAAAGGAATGAAAACTACCACCGCGCTGAGTGCCGGGCCTCTGCTCCTGAGCTGTAGTGTAACCAAATTTATCATAGTTGGATCTTCTTTCGGGATCACTCAATGTCTAACAGGAAAGTAAAATTTACAAGGTGTATTTCTCCATTTTGTTGAAAAATACCATTAAAAAAAATAAATAAGCCTTGAAATAAAGTAGAAGTTTTTATTTTAATAAATATTATACTAGACTATCATAACTTTTTTTCAAAAAATCAGTAGAAATTATAATAGAGTTAAAATGGCAAACCTCATATGCTTCATTGATTTTGGTAAATCTGTCTGTAGCTGAAGGATCTTTATTCTTATCTGGATGCCTAAGTGAAAATAATACCAAATATACATAATTATTATGTTTGAACTTCATGACAATGTATCTACTTTTGGCAATAATGTTATTGCTAAAGCTGAGACAGTCTCCACATTATTATTCTGTTAAATTAACATGACCAATAAGGCGACCAAGGTTTTTACAAGGACAGATGTGGACCTTTGTTCTGGTTTGTCCTCTGCTGAAATCAGAACAGTTTAATAAGACTACATAATTCTTTTAAGAGTTACTAATTTTGTAATTTATCAAAAGATCAAGTACATCTGGTTTCCAAGCATAAATAAATAACAAAATGAAAAGAAATATAATTAATCAAAATTAGCATCCCAAAATATTTTTTTCTTTCAAAAGAACGCCCCATGGACAGAGCACACCATACACTGCATAATCACAAATAATTGCTTATTTTGGACAACTATAGTGCGTACGGTTTCAAATTCCCTAAATTGATAGTGCTAAATCACATAAATATCATTTAAATTATGATAGCTGTTCCAGCTTAGATAATCACGTAAGTAAAAATTTAACAAATTAAAGCTTGATATAGTTTCTTGATATATATTAAAAATGATAAATCAAAATGTTAAAATTTATCTTTGCGTGTCATAATACTAATAGTGCACTAGTTAGCAAGATTTTGACATTATGAAATGCTTTGAACTGTGAATCATACAACTCCTAGCTCTTCCCATAACAGATGAATTATATTTCAAAATAAGTGTCATCAGTTTTTACATGTGTTTTATTAACATATAAATAAATTTAATGCAGTTCTTGTGGTTTAAACTAAAAAAAATACTGGTTCCTTTTTTGAAAACAATGTTTGTTCATCATATCTTGACAATGAAATTTTGTTGACCATTAATGAAATGTATTCAGTAGGGTCCTTAAAAGTAAAAAAATTCAAAAATAGGAATGTAACTTAGATCATCGAAAAGAGCTCTCATAATCTGCAATCCAATGAATGATACTAAGACTAAGACTAAGGTTATGCAAATAGAACAGTTATTGCAGTTTTTGTCTGAATTTTTCCATTTAAATTTACCCATAATTGACACTTTAGTTTAGACACAAAAACTGCCATTTTTTAACTTTTTAAGATACAAACATCAGCATAAGGCATACACATGCGTCTAACTAATGACAATGTTCCTCAATATTTTGACAATAAATGATAATCCAGCTATATCGGCATCGGTAAGTACCTTTCCTATTTATTTTTACGAAGTGGATGCGTACACCGCGGCGGTGTACCTAGCGAAACCATCGGCTTCGGCCTGCGTAAACCGCGGCGGTGTACCTAGTGAAATCGTGGGCTTTGGCCTGGGTACACCGCGGCAAAAAATTTACCATTGGCCTGGTTTTAAGATATACTTGTTGGAGAGGATCTTGTGTGGTCAAGTGGTAGAGTGGACGCTTGGCGATAATATAGTTTGAGATCAATTCTCAGTAGGGGATCGAGTTTTTTTCCTCCCATTTTAGTTTTAAAATATTTTGTAGCAATTGAAACAATTTAAATATATGTTTAAATATTATATTAAATACACTTTATATATTTATTTATATATATAAGTGTTTCAACAAGTTGTGCCGGCCTTTGACTTTGAAAATACCGGTAACTTTAGTAATAAGACTTTAGACATTTGAAAACAAACTTAAAGTTTCTGAAAGCGCATGTAATACATGATGATCATGTATAACAGAAACATTATGAATACTAAGTGACTGATATTCTATTGTATTTCAACATTCTTCGTATAGTTGAATATTTACATTTTACTTTTACGAACAACCAAAGAAAATACCAGTATGAATAATATTCATGCATATGAATATTAATGTGCATGGTCGTATTTCAACCTTGAACCATCTTGCTTTCACTATGCCTTATGCATTGGCAAAATGTACATACGATATCAAAGGTTCATTCACAACACTCAGTCTCACAGCAAATCTTTTGAAAACACCTCGATTTTAGAAACTTGCGGAGCGGTAGCAAACTGTATAGCAAAGCCATAGGTCTGCGTTTACCCTTTTCATGACGTAATTTGTTTCCAGAATGGCATGGCATGTGCTATTCTCAGGGTAAAACACGACGTTTTCTCACAGAAACCATTGCACAATGCGCCTGGGACAGGATTTGCACTATGTCAAAGTTTTTGTATTTGTTGTTGTTTTTTTTTTTTTAGAAATCGATCCTTGCCGGGGAGTGGGGGGTGGTGGTGAGTTATGGGCAGAGGCTTAACCAAAAAGAGGGCATTCACAAATCACGGCTCAGGATAGGGGTTGTCCACAAAGGACGTCCGCACAACCAACTTACCTTTTGCATCCCCCCTCCCTCTGCCTGCATTTTTTTTACTAATGTGTAATGCCAATGTAAAACTAAATCAATGATTTTTAATTATTGTTAAAAGACTTTCAAATAACTGCAGTGTTTCGTATTGATCATCTTACTGCTGTTTTGTGTTGACACATGCTTGGTGTCACAATGACAATGCCTCGGACTACTTTAACTTCACGACTTCATGATCAATGTATGAGTATGTGATTCTCTTCCCGTAGTGTATTTGTGGCGTAATTATATCATGGTGCTAACAAAATAGATACACTGTCTTCCCATTCATTTTTACACCATGCCCCGAGGGATCACATACAATGTTATATTTATAAGGCACCCCCCCCCCCCAAAAAAAAAAACCAAAAAAAAAACCAAAACAAAACAACTGACAACTGGGTGGGGGTGGGCATGAGAGAATAATTTCAAACTAAGATTCACAATCATATGATAAAACTTACAATTAATAAATATATTTGTATTTCAAGATATTGGGGGAGGGGGGAATAAAGTGGTTAACTTTAAAAATAAATCATGGTTTAACATTACACCCCCCCCACCCCCTTCCCTTCCAAAAATAATAAGAAATGCTTTACATGCACTTTGCCACATACGCGTGGACCTTACTCAATATCTTCCCAAGGTAATAAACGAATTTTTAATAGTTTTCAGTTTTAACAGGAGTATAACATTAAATCTACAAGTACCGGTTAGGCCAAAAAGTTAAAGGCTCGCAAAGACCATAGTTTGGCTACTGTATATCGCTGCGGTGTACGCAGGCCACAGACCATGAAAAAGCTAGGTACACCGCCGCGGTGTACGCAGGCCAAAGTCAATAGTTTCGCTAGGTACACCGCCGCGGTGTACGTAGTGCCGGCCTTATTTTTACTGCTACTAATAACTAACAATTTCATGAATGACTTAATTGAATGATGATTTGAATGACTATTGTCATTCATTTTTTTGATTCAATCAATCATCATTTCAGAAATTCAATTGAAGGCATTGAAGGCAATTCAATGGCCAATATAGGTCTGGTAAATAATTTTTTTTTTTGACTTACCACTCTCTTGCAAGATTTTTATAGGCCTTTTTAATTTCTTGCATGCTAGCACCTTTAGAGATCGCTAAAACATCGTATAAATCGTCAGATGCAACGCATAACATAAGGCATATAAAAGAAGTGCAAGATAAAATGAATCTCTTGAATTTCATTTTTTATTTATAACCTAGCTAAGTAAAGAACTTTCGGAAGATCTCTTATAATATATGTATTTTGTTAAAAATTCCGTGTTTTTATACGACTTCCTGTTTACTTCGAAACAATTTTCGTTTTGTTTGGATGTATGCATTCTATTTTTTAAAATCACTTCTTGGCAGTATTATGTACGTCTTTTATATATGTTTAATTTTACTAAATTTTATAATAAATTAATGAATGCGAGTATGAAATATAAGTTACGTAAATATTTGCAAGTAAGGGCATAACTATTTTTAATTGAACGTTGGCCGGTTTTTCTTCCATTTCCATGCTTGTGCTTCCGCTCGTAGTTCTATTAATATATCGCTGATTTCTTCGGATTTTCCTACTCATTTGGTGAGTAGTAGATTTTGAAACTATTTATTTTAAACCGTGGTCTATCAAGAAAATTTTATGAATTTTATTCGTACAATTAAAAATAAAGATTTTTAACGTTATATTATTTTAAAATTGCTTAAAAATGCCAATCCGATTGAAAAGTAAATAAAATTCATTGTCAGTATATAATAGTTAATAATTATATTTTAATGTAAGGAAGCCAAGTGGCGGTTAAGAAAATCAATCAGTCTGTCTCTTTCGAGAATAAGATACTGAAAGTGAAACATGAAGTTAAAGATTACAAATTGTAAATGTATTTAAAAAGCTTGCACAATTGCTAAGACTTAGTCCAAATAACTTAGCCCCCCCCCCCCAAAAAAAAAAAAAAAAACCCAACAAGACAACATGTCCTCATACTCATACTCACACCACCATAATTCTACATTGTCTACATTATTAGTCATAACTACTACTACTATTATTTATTATGACTATTTCTTGTACTATCCACCATCACATGCCAACACTGTCACTATCCAATTTACTGAACTACCGGGCTAAACTCATGCTCCCAAACTAAAACTTATAAATACAATCCATGCTATTAAAATTAATAACAAAAATCATGTCTTTAACTGTATCAACTTAATTTTAGTTTATGGCAGGCAATGGCATGGATTATGATGATGGATGGATAATAATAAGGCATTTTGAACTATCATATATTGTCAATACCTTTACTATAAGTCATAAGTTTAAAAAAAAAAAGTAGTTTCTCAGCTATAGAGTCTAGTAAAATTTTTATTGTTAAAATTCATCCATAGTTCATATGACTAATAGATGCCATCCATACTCATAGTTATTAATAATACAAATAATATTCATAGTGTTCAGGTTCATAGTAGTTTAATTAATCTATAACATGCATAGGATGACAGACTTAACTTTCTTAGAACTTATTGACTTGATTGACACTGCCATGTTATTATACTTAACTTTTTACTGTCTATTCACCCCTTCAAAAGCTTCATCCTCCGCAGACACGCGTTTTCTTTCTGTTCCCAGAATATGCACTAAAACATATGGTGAACATCTTTCATTTTCTGTGCCCCAAAACAATGGAATTTCTCCCATTACACATCAGCAATATAAGGACCATCACAACCTTCAAAACTGTCCTCAAGACCCATCTCTTCAAACTGTACTATACTGACTCATTCTCACCCTCCTCTGACTGATAAAAAAACGCTTGATTCTGCTGGGTGCTGTCCATGGCTAGACAGGGGTAGATAGTAATTGGGTGGGTGGGGTCAAGCTTTTCACCAATAGTTGTTTTTAAATGTAATAATAATAATATAAATATGATATATAATGTTTGATTCATGTGCTTCAAACTGAAATAAAGACATAGAAGACATGAAACTTATTGGTGTTTCCAGGCCAATTGTCATTGTTAACTATGGTATTATAATGTTTTTACTTTTAAAATAAATTGTTTGTGCCTTATTAATTAAATTGATTATCTTGTCTTGTTTTTAGGCTGTAGGCTTAAATTGTAAGACACAAGCTTCTGATATATTTATAGGTAAAGAAAGCCTTAGACAAGGCCTAGCCTATATATTGAATATTGTTTTTACAGTTGCAGTAAGAGAGATGGCTGATGACTGGGGAGAACTCATTACTCAACAGGAAAAGGGTCTTACAACAAAGGTAGAGTTAATTATTTAGTCAAAAACATTTACATATATATAAAAATTTGTACATACAGTAAGTTGGTCATAAAAGGGAGATACTGAAATAAGCTAATGGTTATTGTTGAGAATGAGTGACAATTTATTTTTCCCAAGAAATCAGATAGTGTAGAATTGTAGTAACAGGCCTAACAAAATTGTTAGGACATTTTTAATAGTTTTAGTACTTTTTAGACAATGTATTAAGTGCATTTATTTGTTAATGTACCTTTTTTTCTGTCATTTTTGTATGGGCAAAATTGAGTAATATGGATAATATTTTTAACTAATTGGTTATGCAGGCAATAATTATTTATGTAAAATTTATTGCATGTTAAATATTTAGATTGATGCTCTCAGCATAAAGAAAGATGACACATCTGCAAGTGAGGATAACTCTGGAGCTAGAGCTATAACTAGCCAAAAGCAATGTGATGAAAATAGCAAAGAAGCTGATGAAAAAGGTAATTTAGATATAGATGGAAAAACAAGTTGTTTTTAGCTTTAATCGGGTAATGGAGTGGAAAATTCATCATCGTCAGTGGTGCTCCACCCCATCCTTCCTTCAGACAGATCCATGGCTTTTTTCTTTATGCACGGACCCAAGAGGTCTGTAAACCACTTTTGGAAAATACAATCTGCAAACCCAGTTTGGCCTGTGACTTCTATAAAAAAACAACCAAGCTAAGAATATATTTTACATTGTTCAAAATTCATAAAATTTTCAAATGACCATATGTCGTGTGTGAAATAATAAAATGAAAATTTTAATTTCAATACAGATGTTTCAAAAAGTGACCTTTCCCTGCTCCAAAAGCTTCTTCATTCTCGTCTTGTCCAGTCCAAGTCAGATATAGAAGTACAAAGAAAAGACCCGACATCACCATTATATTCAGTCAAATCATTTGAGGCACTTCATCTGTAGGTTTCTGGTTTTTAATTCTATTTCTCTTCTTCAGAAAAGAAATTGTACATTGAATAAAGTGAACCATAAAATGTAGAATTTAATTTGATTCAATGAATTGAAATCATTAAATCTGAAACTTATTATGATTTCTGCTAGTTTTGATAAAACCGCAATATGAAACCTGAACATTTTTTTTTTATCTTTAACATTTTTAATGTAAATAACACATCTGTTAAATAATCACATCATATTCGCTTGCCAATTTTGCACAGCACAGAGTGAAATAGGTTATTCCACAAAATATTGAAAGACTTGGTTTTAGTTTTTAACCTCATATTTTCAAGAGACACACAGAATGGAATTATACTAATCTTTTATGAAAACATGTACATTTAATTAAAAATCTTTTATTATTATTTTTATTGTAAACATGTTATCTGCAAGAGTTAAAATTCACATTCAGAGAAATAATTAACTGTATCACCAGAGAAATTTCAGTTAATTTTTTACTGACAAAATAATATCCTGAAATCTAATTGCCCTCAGAAAGGAAGTATATTCATAAGATTGTGCACATTGAAGAAAATTTTTTATCTGAAAAACTGCAGAACCTCATCAGCTGTGTTAACCACTAAAAGTTGTAATAACAAGAAGTTAAATATATCTTTCAAATTTTTAACAAAAAAGTTAAGTCACTCGGATTTGAATCAGTCGTTGCACCCCAACCCTCTTATTTTTTTTACCCTTCGCGTTTATGTATCATGTCTTGTTTTCTTTTTTGTTCAATTTTTTTAGTTTCTATAATATGTTCATTCCAGAAAACCAGAGTTACTCAAGGGAGTTTATGACATGGGATTCAATGCTCCTTCAAAGATCCAAGAGACAGCACTACCCACACTCCTTGCAGACCCGTACGCAAGCATTTTATATATTATAATATAAAAATTACTTAAAAATACATAACTTTTGTGAATATAATACAAATCTTCAGAATTGATCTCAATGAAATATATGTTTTTAATAAAAAATATATTAAATCCACACAATTTCTGTTAGTTAAATCCTGCCTAAATTTAGATTATAGCCAACAACAATTAATTCCTCACTAAACTATACCATGTTTCTGTCTTTTGGTACATTGTAGGCCTACCAACATGATTGCACAAAGTCAGAGTGGTACAGGAAAAACAGCTGCCTTTGTTCTTACAATGCTGAGTCGTGTGAATATTTCATTAAACTACCCACAGGTCAGAGATTCTACTACTTATGCATAGTTTTTTTTGGAGGTCTTTTGTTGTAACAACCAGTGCTTATCTCAATCTTTGCATTCAGCTCATTAAATTCTTTTAACAGACATTATAGTTTACATTGGCTGTCTTTATATAACATGAAATAAATGAGTGTTGATTTGAATCTGTTTTCAGTGTTTATGTCTGGCCCCTACCTATGAGTTGGCTCTACAGATTGGAGAGGTGACAAAACAGATGAGTAAACACATGACAGGGCTTCAGATCATGTATGCTGTCAGGGGAGAGAGAAGTAAGTGAAAGAAACTATGTGCCGTCAGGGGAGAGATGGGTGGTATATGTATGTATTGATAGGTGAAATGTGGGTCACAGGTCATGTTTGTATTGGAATGTGAGATACGGTTGACATATTATGTATGTATTGGTAGCTGAGAGATGGGAAAGGCTAGAGTAGAATAGGGGAGATGGACTTAAAAAATATTGCTCTTTGTTGCGGAATGGGCATAAAAATATTACTTTTTAATTATAGACTTAACTTTGATATATAGATATATATATATATAGATATATATAGATATGAGACAATGTGTTCATTTGTGTTGTAGAACCTATAACATGGTTTTCCAACTTTCTATATTCTACACCTTCCATGAGTTGTTTGACTTAGTTTTGCACCCCATCATCATCATCATCATCGCCTGTCGTCCCGTCTGGGGCATAGGCCACAAACAAAGGCTCTCCAGGCATCCCGGTCTTGGGCAAGTCTCTCCAACTGTCCCCAGTTGTGCCCACTCTTTTTGATGTCTGCCTCCAGTTCCCTTCTCCAAGTTGTTTTGGGTCGACCTCTTTTTCTCTTACCCTGGGGGTTCCAAGTCAGGGCTTGTCTCGTGATACTTGATGCGGGCTTTCTGAGGGTGTGGCCAATCCATCTCCATCTGCGCTGGCAGATTAACTCTTCCACTGGTTCTTGTTGTGTGCGCCGCCAGAGATCCTCGTTGGTGATGACGGTGGGCCAGCGGATTCGTAAAATCTTTGCACCCCATACAAATTGATTAAGCCTTCCTCTCCAACAAAAGTAACCAAACATCCGTACATTTTTAAAATTGAAAAATAAATTACTTCTAATTTTTTTATTGAGCTATAAAAAAAAGAACTGTAGAATTTTGAATATAAACTTTTTTGATGTATTACATAAAGTAAAATTTAAATGGGGAAATTAAAAAATAAATAACTTAACTTCATGGCTCCTCTCATCACTTTACCTAACACCCCTTAAAAATGCGAGCACCCCAGTTTGAGAAAACCCTTCTCTAAAACTAATATTAAAACATAATTAACAAGATTGAAACGTAATTTTAGAATAGTAGCATTTAAAACCAAAGAATTATTACACACTTTTTTCAGTCGCCAGGGGACAGCACCTTTCTTGTCACATTATAATTGGCACACCAGGCACCACAATGGACTGGGCCTTCAAATTGAAAGCCTTTGATATGTCCAAGATCAAAGTCTTTGTTCTTGATGAAGCTGATGTCATGATAAGTTTACAAGGCCATCAAGATCAATCCTACAGGTTACAAAGGTTGGTGCTTCTAATTCAGCTTTTCAGTTAGGTTTTTTTCATTATTTTTTTGAGCAATGCGTTATCTAGTGAAATCCATCTTCAAATTTACTTCTAATGATTTAACTTTTTGACCTTCATTAGCAGTTTGTGAAAAATCAATCAATTTTCTAACAGACACAAGACCTTAATAGTCCAGTAATGCTTGTAACTTATGCACATCTAGTTTTCAAGAAGTTGGACTGCTAATACTATTATAAAGCTAAAGTTGATTAAAATAAATTTAAAAATTTTACGATGTAAGAGAAGGAAAAGATAATTTTTTCAAAATTACATCTCATAAATTACTGTTAAATTGATAAATGACTCAATTAGGTTCAAACGTCTTGTCATCTAATTGTTAATGTTTCTGCAGAGGATTGTCAGGTAGCTGCCAGATGTTGCTCTTTTCTGCTACATATGATACTAGTGTAATGGAGTTTGCTGAGAAAATTATACCCAATGACCCTATTGTTATCAAATTAAGACGTGAAGAGGAAAGCTTAGATAACATTAAACAGTACTACATCGAGTGCACAAGCCAGGAGGAGAAATTTGAAGCTCTGTCCAATATATATGGGGCAATATCTATAGGCCAGTCCATGATATTTTGTGCGGTAAGTTGAAAGCAGGTCTAGATTAGGTGTGTGTTTTGGTCACTTGCCACAATCTCTAAACAAAACCAAAAAAATTGCATATGGAACGGTTTCATTGCTGATTATATAAAGCTTCTGCCTTTCCTGATTGGAGCTAACAAAATTGTTGATTAGCTTCCATACTGTTTTGGCTAGTGTTACCCAAGTACTGGTATAACCTATACTATAAGAAAACATTAAATTCATATTATACCTGGTTAAATTCATATACATATAGTTTATTATAGTTAACGGAGTTCATTCTTAAAATTCAAATGTTATTAATGTTTAAAATTATAATTTTTATTCAGAAAATATAATTTATAATGTAATTATCTAAGGCTGGTGAATTTTTAAAAATTATTTTGGAGGATATTTTATCATGCATACTAGAAATAACCAGCCAAGCAATGTTGACAGAAATGCATGAACTTCCCATCTATTAAAGTTACTTGACAAAACATGCCTTTAAGTAAACCACTTTATAGAAATCCCAATTGGTACTTATGGGAATTTTATTACATTAAAATTATTACTAATTTGTAAAAATTAATAACTACATATTAAATATTTGCACATAGGAATAAGCATATTTATTTTGACAGCTTTAAATTAATTGATTAGATTTCCGTAAAAAAAAAATTATATTGCGTAAAACTCACTATCAAATTTACATGCTTTCAGTGCACTTTTGGGAAATTGTATTTTTAGCACCATTGAACAGAGCTTTACAGCATACATTATATACCAAGAGAATTATTTGTGACACCTTTGACATTGGCAACATCATATCTAATTCATCTTAAAATGTTAGACATGAACACATGGCAAATGATGTTTACTCACACTTTAATTGGAATAGTTTATTTCAAACACTGTTTTTTAATCAGTGGTTATGGTAATCAAAGTAAATACGGTAGCAAAATTGTTGGAAAAATAATAGACTATTGCAAAGTGTAACTTTTTAATGTTTAGATTAACTCATTGTTTTGATATCGTGAAAAATTTCAGACGAGAAAGACTGCTGCAACTTTGGCCGAGAGAATGACCAGGGATGGACATGCGGTGGGATTACTCCACGGAGAACTGGAAATAGAAATGAGGGCTGATATTATCAAGAGGTTTAGGGATGGCAAGGAGAAAGTTTTGATAACTACAAATCTTTCAGCTCGAGGTTAGTTTATTTATCTGGGTGAAATTATAGTATTGGCTTGCTTGGATTGTCAAAACTAGTGTACTTGAAATTCCTGCTCAGCTTCTGGAGTGTTTAAGCACATACTTTTATGGGTGAAATAGGCATGTGTTCAAAATATTTGAACATGGCTAAGATATTAAACATCTTGTGTAAAAATATTTATTACACAATTTTTGTTAAATGAATTTTTGTAATTGATTTTAAGGGATGTATATATGATTGATTTTTTAAAATAGCAAATCTCAACATGATCAGATTTGTAAATAATTCTCAGCATGACTAGATTTCTGTTGATGCTTAATTATTACAAAAAATGTTAACAAAAAAATGTTATCCGCATTATTTTTTTTAATAAAGAAAAAAAATGGTTTATCGGGGCATTAAAGTTGTCTATATCTTTACTTATAATTGGTGACGAATAACACCACCGGCATCACCACTAAAATTAAGGTCGGATAGGAAAGATTGGAGGCAGTATGCAGCTTCAAATACCAAGGAGAAATAGTCTCAGAAGAAGGCTCCAAGCTCGAATTGAAGTCCAGGATTGCCCAGACCAAAACAGCACTAAAGAAGCTTAAGAAAATATGGAATGACAAAAATATAGCCTCCAGCACCAAAATCAGGATCTCATTAGTCCTCTCCATTTTCTTGTATGCCTGTGAGTCCAGGACATTAATAGCAGAACTTGAAAGAAAAAATAAAGGCAATGGAGATGAGATTCTTTAGAAGCATTCTTGGAATCTGCTATGGAGGCCATATATCTAACGAGCAAGTCGAGGAAAAAATTCGTCAAGCAATTGGGCAGTATGATGACCTCCTGGGAACTGTAAAAAAGTGCAAACTGGAATGGTATGGCCATGTGACAAGAAAACAAGGGCTCGCCAAAGAAATCATGCAGGGCACAACGAGAGGAGGGAGAAGAAGAGGAAGACAGAGAAAAAGATGGGACGATAATGTCAAAGAGTGGATGGGACTAAAGCTAGGCGATGCTGTGCGAAGTGCAGAAAACAGGTGCGAAGTGCAGAAAACAGAGAGGAATGGAGGAGGATAGTTTTCATGTCATCTGTGGCGCCCCATCGGTCCAAGGGACATGATGATATCTTGACTTAGGGTAACTACAAGTTAATGTTGATGTAATATTATTACATCATTTTTTTATTTTTTGGTAGGTACCCTAATCTGATTTGCATCTTTATTTATGAATATTGTCATCACCTGCAGGTATTGATGTTGAGCAAGTCACAGTTGTAGTGAACTTTGACCTGCCCTTAACGCCTGACCAAAAGCCGGATTGTGAGACTTACCTACACAGAATTGGCAGGACTGGAAGATTCGGCAAGAGTGGTATTGCTATCAATTTTGTCGATGGTCGTCGTAGCATGGACACAATGAAATATATTGAAAAACATTTTGGTAAGTTGTGAGTTACCACATTGGTTTGAACATGACATTACTCCTTATGAGTGTCTACGACTGATGCCAAAATGACTTGGCATTTAGAAACATGAGTCATTTGTCAGAACTGGGAATCCATGGTCTATCCTAATTTCTTAGAATCCCCTCTCTCTAGCATAATTTCGATCCTGTGGGTATCCTGGTAGAAAAAAAGCACAGGCTTTGGGTCCTAAGCTGCAGATGATGCAGAAGTTCATCACTTTAAAGTTTATCTCCTTGATATCTGTAGGGATATGCTCCCTTTAGCTTGCAGTTATTTTAAAGTCTGCCTCCAGGCAATGAGGTTCTTTATTACACTGGTGATAATTGAACTCTGGTTGTATCATGGGCCTTGTGTCTAAACCATACTACAACTGAAATGTTCCCTGTGTAATTGGCTTTTTGAGGATATAAAATACTGGAAGAGATGTATAATCTATAATTATAAAAATTCTAGATGATGCTCCATATATTACAGAGGGGTGCATTTGGTTCTGAGGGGGGGGGGGGAGCAGGGAATGAGAGTGCATCGCTGCTCACAATGTTCACTCAGGAAATTAGATGATGGTGTGTATATATACATATACTGAATATAAATATATTAATAAAAATTTTAGATGATGCTCCATATATTACAGAGGGGTGCATTTGGTTCTGAGGGGGGGGGGAGCAGGGAATGAGAGTGCATCGCTGCTCACAATGTTCACTCAGGAAATTATATGATGGTGTGTATATATACATATACTGAATATAAATATATTATCTGTTATGATTGCGTAATTGTTTAAAATACATGAAGTTGGATTATTTCCTCTGATTGCGTTAATACATAACTGTATCGAATCCCTTAGGTCGGGCCATAGCAAAGTTGGATGCAAGTGACCTGGATGCCATTGAGAAGATTAGTACCTAAACTTTTCATGTCATGCTGCTGGTAGTGTTGAATCAACCTTTGACTGGCCACAAGCAAGCAATATTCATAGATATTGCTAAATTCAGTTGTACTTTTGTAGAGGATGCAGGGAGATGATTGAAATTAACATATTATGTACCGGTATGCAGAAGTGTAGTGTCAAAACTATTATTCAGGCAAAGATAAATTTACAAGTAAATTACCCAATTCAAATATTTATTCCTATTTTTTTTAAAAGTGTTTAATGACTTCCTTCCAGTGTTGGTAAATTTTATGTCATAACAACCATGATTGTATTTTAATTAATTTTGTTAGTTTTTAAAAGAAGAAAGCTAAATTTATAAACATTAGAAATGCCATGTCTAGAAATGAGTAACTACACTATTTTACTTTCATGCTTTGGATAGTGTTTGATTTTATGCTACTAATGCTAAAAGATTTTGGCAGACTTTGCTCCTTGAATGTAAAATTGAGTGGAAAAGATTAGCTTATTTCAATTCTATGAATTATAACTTTTAACATGCATATAGAAACACAAAGACTATTTAGCAAGCTACTGAACCGATTGCTAATGGACATCACCTGTAATTAGATTCATAAGACTATCTCATCCCATATGTTTCACTTTAACTAAGATAATATCTTGTTTTCACACTAAACATGCAAGACAAACGTCATTTGATTTGTTTAGTTGTAAAAAGTTTTATCGCATTTATTATAGAAATGAAATATTAGTAATAAGGAAACTACTGGAAGGACAATGATTTTGGATATCCATGTACCGGGTATTATTGTCTAATCAATTTTTTAAGGATATCAAGCCAATTAAAACTGATTCAAATTATTTTTTTCTATGCAAGAACTCTTACAGTTAGTGTTTAGGTATATTCCACCTTTTCCTTTTGATTACAACTTATTTGAAACTAGTTAGCTGAAACAAACTTGTTACCATAACCAATATAAGCAATTTCACAGCACCAGTATCTGAATTCATTCTCAAGTTACATGTTTAAAAAATGGTACACATTGTTTTTATTGGGATGGCAACACTTGTTACTGTCTTTTTTGATATTATGTTACTGTTCATTGATTCTTAACCTGCTCTGTCAAACTATTTTTGTACCATTGAACTAATTTGAGCATTGAAGTGGATTACACAAATTCTATTGTTTGTTATTATTTGCACTTTACTTAATTTATTCTGGACCAGCATTCATTTCTCATAAATAAAATGTGAATTGTGTAGTATAAAAACCACTACAAACTAACAGCATTCAGTTGTGTGAAGGAATTATTGCATAAAAAAAAAAAGAAAAACAATTTTTATTTCAGTTTTAATAAATTCAATCATATTGAATTTTTTACAACAAAAATTCACATAGTCAACAGTGAATTCATTTTAAGAAAATGATTTTGTGCTATGTATAAAAGTTGCCACTTTTAAACCTAACATAGATCTGTTTATGCCTTTAAAAGTGCATGCACATAAAACATGTGTATTGTGGGACCAAATCAGCAGAGTACAACCAACAGTTCTGTTAATTATCCATTAGGTTTGCCTTATTGTTAATCTTCATGACACAATCGACAGTGCATCCAAAAAATGGGTCTTGAACGTCCACACGTGACTAAGCATCAACCTAAATTGGTACACTACAATCATGCATGACAAGAGCAAGTTTTAATTTTGTGAGCAAGTCTAAGCTATACTATAATCTATTTCCTTGCCTAGTGCACTTTAATAAAAATCTTAAGTTTTTGTATAAATGCACCTAACTAGTGAAATATAAAGACTATTTATTGTAACCCAGATCAATGGCAGATGAGGTTACCGAAGTGCACATGGTTGTACTGCAAAAATAGCATAATAAGCTCCATTGAGGATATATTTGTGAAGATACATGCTAACAAATCCTATTTCAGAGGCAGCTAATAACTTGTTAGATGTAATCTCACAAACTGTCAGCACTTGAGCAATTACAAGTCACACTCACTGACTCAGCTTGGATCATGCTGGTTTCTTATGGCACAATCTTAGTTTAACAGAACTGTGTTCATTGAAGAATTCTGTAGTTGAACATGGATTTCTGTATGTAACAGTTGTGTAGCTGCTGGTGCTCATTAGGCATCAAATAGATACAGTGCTCATCTTGGTAGATATGACTGGACACTAGAATTAAGGAAATAACTAATTCATTCATCATCATCACAGAATTTCAATAATGGAACAGTTGAGAAATTATGAGAGTTCCATATTTGATCAAATTGAATGTTTTAGCATAATTCCTGCTTAAAACTGTTATAAAAAAATATACTTGAGATTAGGCATAATTTTTTAAAATGACCCTTTTGCTAGAACAATTTCCTCATGCAGATTCTGTATTGCTTTGCTAAAATCGATAGCTCATTACTTTACTGTAAAGGATACGGCAACCTCAACACCCAAACTCCATCGGCAGGGAGTTCAATAGGTGAATCCAAGCCAGGGTGAAACAACGGACATGGTGCTGGACCAGGCTGAATGAAAGGACCTATCTGAACTCTGACTGGAGGGCAGTTGGGAATATCACGGGGCGTAACGATGTAGACATGCATTAGTTGTGACATGCAGCCTTTGGGTTGTCTGGGAACAGATAGTAACAGTCATTAGTTGGACAAAAATTAGGTGAAACAAATATTCAGAGTTGATCTATCAACTGATGCGCACCATATAGTTATAATATTTTTATTTAAATTTGAGAGTACTTCCACCCTGACAAAATTAAATACTCCATTACTACAATTTTCAGCCATGCCAAAAGTTTTTGCGATACCAGGTTTGGAGAATTCCATGCTCACAAAATAGGTAGTGAAACTTCTTTCTTGGCAGTCATCAAGTAGGACAGAGCAGGTGCAGTTTATACAATAGCTAAGAAGCCATGTGTGAATTACAAGTTGGCTTGCTATGTTGAGGAATTACCAGCATGATAAAAATACAATGTTGGTTTTGCAACGGCATGAATCTGCAGATGGTGTTATGAGATGGTGAGAAGAACATAAAATAATAACTGTAAGTGTATTTGTGTCAGACCTTGACTGAGAACAAGTAGACCCTGCAAAACTCATTGGAGTATTTCATTATAGTTAAATATAATAGATAGAGTTATCAGTAGGTGAGGAATAGTATTATTATTGGATTTAGAATAGAAGTTAGAGTCACAAAAATAAATGATAGAAAACATTCCAAAGTTCTAAAATCACCTACTTGCAGTGGCAAGCTGTGTAGAGAGGCATGTCCATATTGACCAGACGGCCAGCATTATCCTGTAACAAAAGCATAACTATTCTTGTTTACAGAATGTCTCCAAGGGAAAAACAGGGGAAAAACAGGATATATCAACTATGTCGTTGATATTAAGATTGAGGGCAACTTGACGTAACATTGACAAAGTTGAATGAGACTACCGGACACACAGTTCATACTGAGAATGACCTTAATTATCAATGATAAAATTAATACTAAGGGGTTAAACTTCTAGTCACTCACCTTGACTATGCTGTTTGAGGAAACTTTGATCACTTTGTCTGGTCCACTACAGAAGAACCGATGGCCCCTAGGACATTCATACTCCATCCCCAGAAAGATTCTAACTGAAGTCACTGTCTCTGCAGTTTCTAATGGTGCAGCTGGTTACCAGAATAACAAGAATTTTTAAAAATTGCTAAATTAGAACTTGTCCAAGTTTAATATAAATGTGAAAAATATGGAATCGAGTAACAAAGTGAACATTAATTTATCTTGAAAAGAATGGCCAAAAATGTTGTGGACTTGTTACATTACAAACAATCTTAATGGTTCTATAGTGTTGCTACACACATTAGTTTTAGCAATGATCAACAAATGTAATTAACTTCTATTTCATGGTGACTTGATCCCTAATCTCCATATCCCCACTACAAAAATATTGAAGTCTAGAGATTTTTTGCTAGAATAAGACACCTCAATTCATTAATGAAGGAAGTTAAACAGCATACTTAAGGGTCTGTGTGTTAATTTAAATATTTATTATCTAACAACTAGATTAAAAACCAACTTTTTGATAACTTTCGCTGCTGACGTTTCTTCCCACTTCCGAATGTCTCTGACACAGAAGGCCACTTTTCTTGTTCTGTTTTCACTGGGATGTCCCACGGCAGGAGAAAGTTACTGCCAGGAAGAAATCCAGGCAACTCTAACCCTGAATCAGGAAATTTGTCTTTCATTGAGTTTACGCAAGATATTTTTTTTCAAGTAGATTGCAAGTCTGAATCTTATTCACTGACCTTATTTTAATGTTACTTGTTCCAAGTAATGAAATCATTTCGGCAATATATGCTAATGAATTATTTTTCATAATCCCAATATTCTGTATAATTGCTACTAATACTAGTTTATTATATATTATATGTACTCCATAGGTTTTACTATCAGAGCAACATGCTAGAAGATTAAAAAAAAAAGATATTAACCATTTTTGTATATAGGAACAAGACACATTTAATATGATAACTGAATAAATTTGTGTTCCATCTATGGCTTGCGTAAATTTATAAGATAAATTTTGAAATATTTAGTAAATTACTTAAATATTAATTTTATTTGAATTAATATTTTATTTTCTATTTTGCTATGATAGAGCTAATTTTGTGAGAATGTGTCTTGATTTAAATATAGCACTGAATATTAATAATATTATACTAATTAACATTTAAAACTGCTTATTAACTTTCCTTATATACAAAATGGTTAGACTTTTAAATGATGAGATATTCAGGTTTTGTATTTTATAACATGTAATAAGTTTCATATCTTACCCACTGCATGTGAATAGAGCCCACTAGACCCTAGCCGACAGAGTGAAAAAGACGAAAACAATGGCAGCAAGCCCGCCGGTGACTTTGTGTGGATCATATATGGGAGATACTCAGTGGTTGAATGCTGGCGACTTGGTGGACTTTTAGCTAATGAAACAACATAACATTGGCTTTAATGTTATGGAAATGCAGATATTGTTTTTAAAAATAAAAGTTGAATACTGAAGAGCAAAGAATTCTTCAATTTAAAAAATATGAAACAATAACATGCAAGATGATATACAAATTTATTTATAGAAAAAAAAATAAAAATAAATTCCAAAGTCCTACATTTATTACTCTGCTCTTCTGTTGAAATCCTATTATTCACTGTCTTCACTTCTGTCTCATCTGTCAACTGCAGCTCCCCATCCTGGATCTCAGTTGTTTCCCTTGCTTCATCAATCTGGCTGATCTTGGGGTCAAGCTCTGCAGCTGTTGGGCCGAGCTGACCTTCAAAATAATTTATGAAATTAAGGCAACTTGAAAGTAAATATCATGTCATTTCATATCATTCTCCCCAATCAAAACAATGTAAAACATTGTACTTATAGAATTTTGAAAGATAAACATAAATACCCAAGCAAGTTAATAAATAATCTTGAAAAGTATTCCCCCAGAATTAATACAGAGAGAAAAATAAGACTTGAATTTAAAATCTATCAGTTGCTTATCTAACAGACAAATCACACATCATCAGTAAGATCATTATAGTTTAAGGTTTCTATCTCCTTTATTCACCTAAGCTTAAAGCTAAACTAAGTTCAGACAGTGTTGAAAAAGCATCAGTTTTTTCTATATCTTTCACAATAGTGTTTTCTTGAGTTTGCTCAAGCTGTTGAGGAGCTGGTGGTGATGGAATGCTTGCAGCACGAGCATCTGGTGTGGTAGGTGAGAAAACAGGAAACTGTATGTGCTCCAGCCAACCGCAGCAGTTGGACTCCAGTTCTTGATAGAATTCATAGTTTGCATTCTAGAGATGGATATCAAAATATAACAAAGCTATAAAAAGCTCATATTAAACATACTACTTCAGGATTGTCTTTAATATGATGTTGATGAAGGGATTAAGATTTCAGAACTGTTGAGAGGACGTAATAATTTAAAGTATTTTTAAAAAAAATGTGTTTCAATCCATAATGTTTACAAATAATTTTTATAGGTATGAAACATAGAGAAAAATGATGACTAATTTAAATACCAAAAAAGATGCACACTAAAGAGAGATAATTACAAAGTCCTGACAAAAATCCAATAAGGAACAATGTCATAGTTACCTTATGGTTAAACGGGTCATCCTTATCAGCCTGGACCTTCCCACAGTTGCAGGCAGCTTTAGTTTTCATCTGACTTGAATGTTGTGCAACAGGCCTTTTGTCATCTGGCCCTGATGCAATCTCAGTAGGCAGACGATGGACCTAGTAGAGAAAAACAAAATGAATTATAGGTATAAAATATATGCTTACAGTGTTGACTTGAGGGTCACTAAGAACAGTGGATATTCTATTAAACCTGATTCATTTTGAGCTCAATAAAAATTAAATTCAATATCAAAATCATCGAAAAATTTTCAAGATGAAATAATGCATTTCCTTTAGCCTTTTTTAAAATAATATTAAAAGATAATGAAAAAGTAATCAAGGTCCTCTGGATTTTCAGGTTATAAATTTGAAATGTCTCGTACTTTTATACAAGCTTAGCATATATTTTCAAACAAAGTTATTTTGGCGTTCATTCTAAACAGCCTAAACTAATATTAGTTGATATTAGGGGTTGGAGAGAACACTAATGAATAAAGAAGATGCTAGGAACCTTAAAAAATTAAGCGTTGACAGCTGTTTTAAACCGTATCCTGAAATTTGTTTGAAAAAAATTTCATAGACGGAAAATTGATAGATGGAAGTTTGATCCAACGGAAATTTGATAGAGCGGAAGTTTGGTCAAACGGAAGTTTGATCGAACTTTTAAAAAAAAAATTCAGACGATTCAATTTTGCGTCAAAATTCTGTTTAAACGCATTATTTTGCTTCTGTGTGTTCAAATAGAAATTTGACAAAAATTTGATTGTGTGGACTGAAAAAAAAATTCGACCAAACTTCCGTTCGATTAAACTTCTGTTCCATCAAATTTCCGTTGGACCAAACTTCCGTCAATCAATTTTCCGTAGACGAAATTTCTTTCAAACAAATTCTTGTAACTGTTTTAAACATTTTGAAAATTCATTGAATGGAGAGAAACACATTGAGAAATTTTAAACAGAAGAAGACCTAGCAAGTAGTTTAGTACTAAAAAGCAAACACAATTTAAAGAAATGTGACATCACATATAAGAGCTAATGTCTCACTGACTTTGTTTGTACACAAGTTTCCTGTCAATGATAATGCTTCACACTGTTGTCGACCTGCCTTCCAAAATCTCTCGCAAGAGACTTCAAGTTCGGTCATATATCTGTCATAGGCTGGACCTCTGGCATATTGAGCAAATACTCGTTTGGCTTTGTTCACCTGTTCAAAATTGCAGCAAAAATATAAAAAAATAATAATTGGTTCATTGTAGATGACTTCTAAGGCTAAGTACCGTATTAAATAACTTCTAAGACTAAGTACCTGTTCATCCCTTTCAGTAAATATGTTTTGTGGATGGACAAAAATTATGATGATGGGCTCAATAGATTCATTTCTAACATAACTAATAATGCCACAAAAATATTTAGACTAATCAGATGAAAAGAATATTTAAAAAATATGATGAATTGATTGAATACTAATTTTATGATCAAAATGTCAGAGGTTTAAATTACCCTATTGAGGTGATAGGATGTGATGTAAAACGGAGGTAAGTCTTGCTGATAGGCACTTTCAGCCAGAGGAAGCACTTTGTTACACCGACTGGTAGAATACACAGAAAGCAGACCTTAGAAAAAAAACTCATTAGAGCTATACTATTTCTGCATTAATTTTAAATAATTAGATTTGACTTTTAATTTGATAACTTTAAAAATAACCTACTTCAAATTATTCCCACCAGGCAGGCCCCATTAAAATTCTTCTATACATCTATGTTCAATAAAACTTACTTCTCAGAAAACCTCATGCTGATGTCTAACAGATTTTTTAAGGTTGCAAGAGGGTGAGCAGGTGTTGTATCATTTTCTTCACTTAGGAAGTATTTATGCATGCCGTTTGCCACTTGTAGCCATGTGCCCAGATTAGGGAGCTTCAAGAGTTGTACAAAATACTTTGATTCATTAAATACAATGCAAATAGAAATTGTTTGTTGAAATTTATTTTAAAATATTAAAAAAGTTTAGACCCACTTGCAATGTCAGTAACATTAGCAAATAAAGTTTATAAAGTTATAGTATGTAAAGATAGTGATTCTCAGATATTCCTATTCTGCATATATATTTGTAAGCCTTGTCAGCCATCCTGGAGGGAACCCTGTTTATTTTTATGTAGTAGTTAATTTTTTATGTTGTATATTATCACTTATTTTATCAAAGTTCTGTTTTTAATTTATGATTCAAAGGAGAACAGTATTAAATAAGGACTTGAATCCATGCACCAAAAGCAAAAATAAAATTGTAGGAAACATCGATCAAAGTGCTACATGGGTTATTGAGATCATAATTTAGAAGGACCATAAGTAAGAGATACTAACCTCAAATATGGGTTCTATACCATGTCTTCCAACATTGTCATTGACCGTCTTAGAGAAGACCATCTCCACATGCTGCCAGAGAAATTCCTTTAAACTCTGGTCCTGGCATCTGCCCACTGAGGATGAGGATAAGGGGAACTTGGCAGGTGATGATGCTGGGGTGGGAAGAGTAGATGGAGCTGACAAGGGGAGCAGATCAGGAACTGGTGCATTCAACTTCCTCCGACAACAACTGTATGGCTTGGGTTTCTGTGTCGCGGGCTGAGGATCAACTACAGTTGAGAGCAAAGTTTGAATTATCCACAATTGAAGAATTACAAATTTTTTTGGATAAGGGACATAAAGAAAATTACTTTAAATTCAAAATTTTATTTTAATTTAAGAGACTGCCATTGACAGATTTAAAAATCCTCATATAATTAAAAAGTAATGATGAATGGACAAGTCAATTATAATTATACTTCACTAATTATAACAACCTTCTTGAACTGGAAAACAATTTTGTCTCATTTGGGACAACAAAAAATCCACTGGATCAGAAACCTCATTGCGCTTGGTACAAAGATAAACATATGGCTGATTGATAGGCACAGAAAACAGCGAGTTGTTCCTGTGAATTAAGGTAAAATATATTTTATATTGTACTATCTGATAGATTGCTAAATTACAAAACTCTGTCTATTGCAACCATAATTAAAATAAACATTAAAATGCTCCCATTCTTCAGTATAAACTCACAAAATATATTCCCCTCCTGTAGTGATAAATTTAAGTTTGGGAATTCACTTACGAGATATTAGTTATGGCCCTTGTCTTTCTAAGAATCCTGAAAATCATGTCTTCTATACACATTTGAAGTTTCTTCATTGGTGGATATTTCTGTTAAAGAATTGTTAACAAAAATATTAAAAAAATTAAACTTTTATTTGTAAATAGAAGGAGCAAAAGGAATACTTAGGGAATGGATTATATAATTTACATTTCAATTCCATTACAATTTTAAAAAAATATCATGACATTAAAATATTTGTTCTTCAATTAACCACATTATTTAAAACTGGAATACAAAATTATGTAATAATAAAGAGGATTAGTTTGAGATAGCAATAAAAATTAAAATTATCATGACATTAAAATATTTGTTCTTCAATTAACCACATTATTTAAAACTGGAATACAAAATTATGTAATAATAAAGAGGATTAGTTTGAGATAGCAATAAAAATTAAAATTTTAAATGGAAATACATAAAAGTTATTTAGTAATTGCTTGCAATTTTCTGTGACATATTGATGAAATTCTTGTTTATATACCAAAATAAATGTTTACTTTAGACATCTTGGAAGATCCATTATCAGTATCTTCCGGCTGTACATCAATGGCCGGAGTCTCAAACACAAATAGCATACGTGGTGTACAGACTCGTCCAAAATTTGCCCAGTCCTTCGATACACCAGTGATCGTGGCTAATAAATCTATAAAATCTGGCTGCACCTTTTGCCTAAAATTATTGTTAAAATACAAATTTCAAGACTTTTTGCAACAATAATTGTTCACAAAGAAACAAAAGACAGTCCATAAGACATGTTAAATATATGAACTAAGATTTATTGAAAGATAAAGTTGTCCTGTTGAGAACACTAATGTTTAACAATCAAAACATTTGTACCAATCCAAATTGTACAGCATTTGGTTTTTTAAGATGGGAATCAATGAAATAAATGTCACCAGCCTTCATGCACCTTATATTGTCCAGTATGTGGAAAAGTTTCAGGTAGGACAAGTCAAATGTGCTCCCTGGGTGATACAGCTGTTGATAAAATTATCAATAGAAATAACTTTAAAATAAAAACAATTTTGTGGTTAAAAAAGAGTATTATATGAAACAAGTATTTGAAATGGATTCATGGAGACGTGTCAATCATTCTTAAAACATAATTATTTTGTTTAAAATTTGCTAAGATGATTGTAACCTCTTTGGGACGGCTGATCTATTGGCTCAGGGTGGAATGGCCAAAAAGACGAATAATTAAAGATTGGCTGGCTGGTCTTCGTACCAGCTAATGAGATTGCTTCTTGCATTTCTTGCTCACCTTGCCATTTTAATGGCAGCTTCCATTGATATTTTATGGTGATCTGTCATTTTATATTAAATAATTTTATACCTAGTGACCCTTAAAAATGCTTTAAAAATATGTGACCTTTTGAAATGTCAAAAGCAGCCCCGAGGGTATATTTTACATACTTTTTCACACTCTATCTCTTTAAATATGGTTATGATCTTATTTAGGCTTCAACAATCATAAATTTTTTTTAAATTCTGCAAGGAAGACATGTTTATTTTAAGTGTAAAAAATAATTGCATGCATAAATTATGCAAATCAGGTATCTCAATTGCATTACTTGTTGAGTTTCAGTTTAATACATAGATCATATTATTTCATTCAATTCCCTACAAGAATACATATAGTTTTATATTTGTAAAGTAATTAGTTTATTTTTTATAATTTTGTTGCAAAATGAATGCTGAGCTTGTAAAATTGGCTTCATCTTCTTGGCACTAATAATAATAAGGAAGAGATTGCAATCAGGTTATAAAAATGGAAATGAGCAAAACAAAATAAGGGAAAACCTGAAGAAAAAAGACAACAACAAAACAATGTAGTTTTGTTGCTTTATTTTTGTTAAGTTTTTCCATACTTTGCTCATTTCCCTTCTTGGCACCGACACTCTGAAAAGACAGTCTCAAAAGGGTTAAAATACCAAAATTTGTGCATGTCCAGAACCCAGGCCATCAACTTGTATATTAATTTATATGTCTAATGATAGCTAAACATCATGAATGGTACATCAGGGGGGGGGGGGCAAGTCTATGCTGATAGAGGCCCAATTAAAATATTTCCATATCATTTTAAGCCTGTCAAAAGTGGAAAGGAAACAACAACCAACCACCCTAAGCCATCAACTTGTATATTAATTTATATGTCTAATGATAGCTAAACATCATGAATGGTACATCAGGGGGGGGAGGGGGCAAGTCTATGCTGATAGAGGCCCAATTAAAATATTTCCATATCATTTTAAGCCTGTCAAAAGTGGACAGGAAACAACAACCAACCACCCTACTGACAGTTAAAACAACTGTTAAATTAGCATTATTGGACTAAAAAGAACATAATATTAAAGAGAATACCACATTACGATTTGTCCCACTTGGATATGTTATAATGTGCACACAGAAATACTCTTCAATGAGTATTGAACCTTATCAAACATTACATACTTTTCATACTTTTTTCAAGTTGCAGGGTGAAAAAAATTGGCTTTGGTTAAATATCCTTTGAGTAAATCAACGCATTTGCATCAATGGACTATCAACAGTTCAGATGCAATTGTACAGCATACCTCCCTTTACACGCAATAAAAATACTAGTGAAAAATGTCTCACCAATATTATGTGGGAAAGGTTAAAGAGCAGCAGTAATGTCTTTGCATGCTTTAGGTCATCATCATGGCAGAGTCTATACAGTTCCTGAGCAAGAAAATTACAAAAGATCTTTTTGATATTTCATTTGTTTAAAAAAAACTGTGGTAGTATCATCTTATTGTTGTTAATGAGTTAATTTTAATTATTTCTTTCTTTTTAATTTACTCAAATGTATTTAATCAAATAAATTTCATTTAAATATTCCAAAATTAAAAAAAAAGATCACAGTGCATATTGGCTGAAATAACTTTACTTGTGCATTAACATCGTCAGCCAGTTCTTGGCATTTTTTGGCCAGGAGGTTGGTGTCATAAAATGAGATAAGATGCAGAAACATGACATGACTCTCAGAATCATAGAAGCATTCAATATTGCCCTGTTTTAGTAAGAGCAATAAAATTACATCACAGAGGGTTTTTAAGCTATTGAGCATGTGTTGGAACAAAAATGCAATACTCCCAAAGCATTGATAAACAAAATAAAAATCTTTACACAGGTCCCTAGTGTCAAGCCTGTGGACATTCTAAAATATTTTCAAATAATAAAACCATGTAGTGTTAAAGCATATAATATGAACTTCAAATGGCTTTTGGGGATTTAGAATCCTATCCATGTATTCATACATTAGATAAAATTATTAATTTTATTAATATTAATTGAAGTATGTTAACTGATTAAACACAATTTTTAATAAAAGCAATATTGTTTTTTTAAGATAGAATTTTAAAAAAAAACTTACTTCTTGAATTTGATGTTTAAAGTACGCCTCTGTTCCCTAATAAGAATAATGAGAAACTGTTATTAAGAAAATTGTTATTTCTAATTCTAAACATTAGAACAAAAATGTAATGTTACAAATTTAATTAGATACAATGAAATATGTATTCTGCCTCCATTGACCTTACAAGAACTACATAGTGAAGTCATGGTTGACAAGCATCCCACATTTTACACTGGCAGTGGAAGAACTAGAAGTGGAGAGTTCACCAAGCTTGGTAGTTGTAAAGATAAACAGACACAGACATAAAAGTGAGGAATGAACATGCAGAATATCTGTCAACCAAATGAAAATAATATATAAAGAATATTCCAAAATGTTAGGCAAATACCAAAAAGATAGGACAAAACTGGGCATGGTTGCGGGATTGTCTTAATAGCAACATAGGCCCTGGGCACAATTTAAGATGTCAAAATTTAAAGAACATTTAATATTCATTAATAACCGCCAAGTGTGCCATGCCTTAAGATGGACTTGCATGGTTGGAAAAACTTGCCCATTATCAGGATGACTGGAAATTTTCATTGCACAGGTGAAGAAAACATGACATAATATCTTTATCATTATATCAATCATTTAGCTTTTTAAGTTATTCTTAGGGTTATTCTAGGTTTAAAGTTAACCTTACCTCAATTGACTGAACATTAATGTTTTAAAATTTTCTATTGATGGAGAAAGTTAAACTAGTGACAAAAATATAAGAAATAATTGGATATTTGTAAAACAGTTTTTAAAAGTCACTTTTTTGTCTGCTACTGGGCATCTATTGTGTGGGTTTTATACTAAATCGAGAGTGCTGATTTCAAATCTGAAGTCCGATTTTGCATAGAACTAGAATTTCACAATTTTAATGTTGTGCAGTTTTATGTTAAAATTAAATTGTGTATTATGCAAACAAATTTCATATCTACTATAACTGTGATTATACTCAGAAGGTCATAACTTTAAAAAAAATATATATTATTCTTTTAAAACTTCAAATAAAATAAATATTAAACTTATTTTCAATGAGAAATTTTAGGTTTGATTCCTTAAATTTAAAAAAAAAAAGGTCCATAGAAAGTCATAAAAAAATCTATTGAACAAAAAATAAAACATAAGAAGAAAGAAACTTACAATATTGTTTTAAAATCTAATATGAATATAATATGTATGTTACTCAGAGGAAAGCATCCATTTCAAAATTTTGTCTTCAGTTTAACTCTATTTGAGTTCAAAAGAGCTTTAGGCAATAGCACTTGTGAGTGGCTAATTTTGCCAGCTGAAGAAACCAACAGTATTAACCCCTCATGAATAAATTGCGGGGGCCTTGATACCTTGTTTCCAAGGTAAAACTTGAAATCTCTCTCAATGCATATGTCTTACATCAACTAAGTTTGGTGGTTAAAAATCCAGATGAGAATGTAAAAAATACATTTTAAGAACATCAGGAGCCAAGTTGGTTGTAAGCTGTTAGCATGTGGCTAATGAGTTCAGCATAGTTCTGTACACGGTAATTCACACAAAAATTTTTGCACCACCAATGTAAATGAAACCCAAGTATCGAATTCAAGTGGGTTCAGCACTTAATTCTAAATAAAGTATCACGCATCAGTTCATAAAGACTCCAGCTTTCAGTTACGCATCAGTTTTGATTGCTCCAAATCTCTCAAAATTTTTCTTGAAGCCCAGTTTAATATGAAGTTGTGGTAAGTAATGGATCATCCATGACTCTTGTTGAACGTTGTGTCAATCAACAATGTACTCAGATCTAGGAGACCACTGGTTCACTTTATAATGGTTGCTGTCACCACGACTGCTCCACAAGCAAAAAAAATAATAGATGTTTACGTTTAAGTTGTGTTCATTTTCAAAATTAGTTTGATAGTTTTAGGAAAATAATATTTTTCGTTACTATTGGGCAACAACACAGCTTTCAAGCTCAGCTTGTTTGAAAATATATGAACAATCTCCACTGATCAGAAACTTATTTGTAACTTAACATCAACATGAGACTGCTCACATCAGTACACAAACTGATATCATTGAAAAGTTTATAATATGCATATATATGTTATGAAGTGACTGGGTGGGGCAAGTTGAGCTCTAGAAATAACTGCTGTTTTGAGGGCTAAATTGTTACTGTGGTATGTGCATGGGCAATATTGTCTCCAACATTTTGCCAAAACCAATAAAGCTATGTTCATCTTGAATAGAGTAAATGCCAATGTGGGAGGTAAGCATTGCACATTACCTTATCGTGAATTATGCTTTTGGTGGTTTGACCTCTATCTATTGTGTAATATGATATGGAGTGTGTCACCCTACTCAACAACTGCCATATTATTAATGCTCTATATATTTCTTGTATGTATTATATCTTAAAATATAAATGTGCTAGGCACATTCTGACATCATATTTGGAATCAGCCCTCCCACCCACAGCACATACAACCCACCCATATGTTTTACTTTCAGTAACAAAGTTGTTGTTGACCAGTGTTATTGATTACTAATGAAAAGTTTACCTGAAACACATCCTTGTTTAGAATGGGATTTAAAGAAGTTGCCTTGCTGCAAAAAGGGTTGAGGCGGCCTTTACCGAATATAGATACTACACAAATTTTGGTCTCTGGATTAGGCACAGAGCTAAAATAGAACAAAGATTTTATATAAGCTTTATGAATGGGATTAAGGTTACTTTTTTAAATTTATGTGCTACAGTTTCAAACTGAGTTTAACTTTGAGTCACTGGTGTCGTGGTGTATGAATTATAAATAGCAATAGTATGAGTATGAGTATGAATATAGGTACTATGATACTCGCGCATACGATCTGCGCATGTTGAAAAATAATGCAAAATTTTTTGTGGCAATGTACAGTATGGCTTGGTGAGGGGTTCCTTTTTTTTTTGCATTTTACATCACAGTTTTCAAATAATAATACATTTTGCCATCAGTGACACCATATTTGCAGCATGGTGAATTTTGCGACTGGCAACACATTTAATTGCTTAATATTTTTTATGTAAAATTCAAACACATAGTGATTTAGCCCAGTACTGCTTGATTCATTTACAAATTCAAATAGTCAAATAGGAATAACTTAATTTTGTTAATAATAGAAATTGCAAAAAAAATTTAAGCATTTCAGAATGTAAGAAAATAACATTGTCAGTATTCACCCAAGTCACCCCTTCACAAAGCAACATTTGTGTTGTCAGAAATGGTTTTTCTTATCAATATAAATAATTTAAAGATATTTTCATTATTGTTAATATTAATGTCATTGTTAATCTTTTAAAATCCGTGGAAGACTAATCAGTTAATAAATGAGAAACAGTTTTACATTAGTCGAATTTAATACAACCCATTAAATTAAATAGTTTTTAATAATTATAGTTCATGTAGTCCGGTAATTTTGGACTTGTTTTGTCCCTGATATAAAAATTACCTCAAATCAAATTTTATTGGGAATCCGAAGAAATTTTCGAAGGAGGTCGCCATATTATAAAAGGAGGAATTAACTCTAAAAGTCTAATTTCTTCCAGCAGACGATGCAAACTTTATTTTTATAAAAAAGTTGTAATAAGTAACAACAGAAACAATAAAGACAATATTTATAATGAGATCACTGTGTAGGGTTAAGCACTTCACGACTTTTTGAAAAATATATTTAATACGATTCGAATGCAATTAACTAAGTTAATATCTATTACCACTAAAAATAAAAATCTAGCTTGTTTGTTTTCAAATACAGAGCTGCTTTGTTTATGTCACTATTTTTATTTATAATATAATTAATAATATAATCACATGAAATGTACGATTAGAAACCAAATTCAACTGCAATTTTTTAGAAATAGTTTTCACAAGAGACATGCCGTAATAAAATGTCAACCCACATGCTCCACATAAAAACCTATTTGTTTAAAAAATTAATTATTTGTAAAAACTAAAACCACTTGATTTTGTCAAGACCCATTTTATTCCAACCTCAAATGATTCAACCATTGTTGGGGTAAACCAAGTAAGTATTTATAATTTTTTGGTACTTTTATTCTTAATGTTATTTTTTTTTCTCAATATTTTCTACATTCTTTTCCATGCCACTATTAGATTATATGCAGTTGCCTAAATTTACCTATGCTAATCATGAATCATGGCGTTTAAACAGCAGTGACGGCACGGGTTAAAGTAAAGTACGGAGGCCCCCTTTTCCGCTCTACCCTATTCAATGAATGTTAGCAAAAGCATGCGATATCCTATGTGATATTGCCAGATTTTCTTTCAGACTATATTAATATTATCGTGAGTGGAGGCAGGGTATCTATCAGTGCCAAAATTAGGCATAATGTTGCCCTATGCCAGCTCTGACGTCATACTTAAACAAAAATTAACTCCGGCTGTTGGCCCCAGCTTAGTTTCGCCCCTGTAATCTATTTAGTGACAGTCTAACTATATATATATGTATAAGTCAGCGTTTCCCAAACTGTTAATTTTCACGGACCGGTGGACAAGTTTTGAAACTGCACCAGGAACCGGTACCAGATTTATTAATTACATTTCCTATCTATTTAAACAACAATATTCATGCTCTCGGGACCGGTAATGTAAAGCTTGCGGACCGGTGCCGGTCCACGGACCACCGTTTGGGGAACGCTGCTTTAAGTGATACTTTGGGCATGTTCTACGTATATCCCGGAGAGCAGTGTTGTGTTCAAAGTTCCATTGTCCATTGAGCGTATTAAAGATTCATCACATTATTTAGCTGAAGAAGTAAGTAAATGAATTGTGGAAAAAAAAAAAAAAAAAAAAAAAAAAAAAAAAAAAAAAATAAAAAAA